TCTACAAGTGACCAACCAGCCTCTGAGGAATTTAGGAAGTATTCCCAAACCAGGAAGTGGCAGAGCAAGGACTCTTGTCTGGATTCTCTTTTCAAAATTTCGAACCCTCCTTACCAGTATATTGTCTCTCTTAGCTGGAGAGAGTGACTTTCAAGAACGGAAAGAAAAATGAGAGAATAACAATAGAAGAAGTCCTCTAAGACGGTCTAAGAAATTTAGAAAAAGATTCAGATGATCAGAGATTCTATTATGGATGGCTTTCACCTTTTCAATAAAAATCTGAGTGTGTCCACTGTATCCCAGACACCTGGGATACAAAAATGAACAAAGCAAGTCCTTAAATAAAGAAGCATGCAATATAAAACAAACACTTTCATAGATGATTACAATAAAATATCATAAAAGCAGTAAGTAACACAGACGTGCTCTATGCAAGTAAGAGAAAGGGCGCCAACTTTGGGTGGCCAAAGTCCGAAAAGGCTTTATTTGATAAACATTGCCAGGCACTATTCAAGAAACTGGGGACAGTGGTAAATAAAACAGAATGAGGATCTCATGGAGCTTACGTTATAATGGGAGACAGCAAATAAACGAAGTCATCCCATGTAGTAATAAATGCAATGAAACTGAGTGATGTACAGAGAAGACTGGGCCCTTACCTTAAATTGGAATGTTAAGGAAGAACGCCCATGGGACAGTAAGAAACGACTGAGAAGTCAGGGGTGTGTGCCGCTTCAAAACGTTATCGCTTAATCTCTGGGGCAAAGTCAGCAAGTTTTTAAAAACTAAGCACCTTTATTCTACAAAGGGTTTACTTTCAGGCTAATAGTGTAACTTCGCCATAGCTCAAAATCTCTGGAATCAATTTTCATCCTTCCCCCGTTTGAAAAATAAAGAAGAGAGACCTCTTTTTCTTTCAATTATTAGGGCTGCTCTCAGCGAGGCTGGTCGGGGCGGCCTCGCGGTGGCTGCTCGGAGGGCTGTCCTCACCTTGATCTGGAGGCGCAGAGTCGGGATAAGGCTGCGGTGCGTCTAGGGTAGGTGCAGGGCCAGGTGCCAGGCAGAGGCCGCCCACTCACACTGGTGATCGGCCACCACAGCCGCATCTCCCCGGGGCCCTGGACCGCCTTCTGGGCTGCAGCCTTCGCCCACACCCGCAGCCTCCCTTACCCAGCTGCAAAGGGGCACCCCAACACCCCTCCTCCCACTGCCAAACATCTGCGACCCGAGGCCTTCGGGCGGGCCTTCGCAGGCTCTGATGCACGTGCCCTGACGCGTGACGTAGACGCGCCTGCCGCCCGCGCCCTGACGTGTGACGTAGATGCGTCACACACGGCGCGGGGCTATGTCAGGCGTCGGGCGGGGAAGCCCGGGACGGATTACGGGCGCCGGGTGCCGGGACGTTCCGGAGCCGCCCGAGTCGGTATTTTTGTCCTCAGGTCTTGTCCAAACGGCCCCCCATGCAGGAAATGGCACAGGCACTGAGCGTGGTCTTGGCTTCTCCAGTTCACCCGTCCCCCGAATTTGCATTCCCTTAGAGCGCTCGCATCTGAGACTGAATTGCCAACCCAGAGAACTGCACTTTTGCCTAAAATCGGAGAACCTCGGGCCACAGGGATTTGGAACTTTGTGGGGAAGAGCAAATGGTGCTGAATGTGGTGGATTTAGTTGTGATGAAAACGGAGGATCAAGGGCTAGACGTCCTGCAATACATCGTTTTGGAGAAAATGGATCATGGCTTTAGGAAGAGAACCCAGGAATAGTATTAGCAGAAAGATTTAATCCTAAAGCTAACACCTTTTAATTTTTGTCAACCCAGTAACCTTACTTTTTCAGAGGTTTCTTCACCCTCAATCCACTATCCCACCTAAAGTATCAAGTTTCTGCTAAATCACACCAGTAATAGTTTTTTTTTGGGGGGGGGGGGAGCATAAAAAACAATGTAATACGATGTGATATGAATATGGGATTCCAAGAATAGAAGTAAAGAGACCCTGGGATGTTAGTGTCAGGCTTGATCTGACTACCTGAGGAACTACAGTCACTTAATCCCTTAGCTCAAATTTATTAATCAGTAAAGTGAGGGAGTTGAAAGAGAGATCTTCAAAACTTTCTATCTGACCTTAGCAACTGTCCTACATTATCACAGGTAGTCATTACATATTTTTGTAACTATGATTTCCCCAGGATCAAAACCAAAAATTAGGGCGTTTAGTGCAGGGAAATCAAGGATGTACCTACAGCATGTTGGCAAGGTAAAAAAAAAAAGAACGATTCTTAAAGCAACATTTCTAAAGTTTCATTAAACTATTCAGTTTTTAAAGCACAACAGATGAATACATTTCAAAATTGGCCTTTCTTGGTTTGTATAAAGAAAGCAGGCTGTTGATAAAATTCTTCAATGTAGCAAACAGTAGGAAGACAGGTATTTAGATCTCTCTGTTCCTTAGATCTTGCAACTTTCTTACCAGCCAAAGTTTTCTCTTCCCTTTGCTTTCTCAGCTTTCTAACTTCCCATTTGGATTAACCCTTTGCATTCTGGCCCCATAAGGGATTTTCTTTAAAGTCTCCATCACCAACTCTTAAGTGTTTTCTCAGTCTCCACCCTTTTCAAGCTTTATAGTATCTGATGCTATATGATATATTGATTGACAGTACTACTTAAGAAAGCCTTTTTCTTTCATAAGATGATTTCCTCTATTTCCCTGGCTATCCTGTTTTCTCTTCCTTCTTCTCCCCGTTTCTCCACATTCCAAAGTCTTGTACTTTACCCTTTTTTTTCATTAAACTCTGTTCTGTGGCAATCACCTCTGAACATTGTCTGAATTTAATCTGTTGCAGTACATGGTTCAGTCCAGCCTTGCACAGATATGTAGTTGTAAAGGGAGTATTCAATACTCTTTCCAGATAATTGTGGATATTCCTCTTTAATCTGATGCCAGCATTCAACGAGTGATAGTTTCCTAAAGCTTAGCTGCAATGTAGAAACCATGTACTATGTTACATTAAAATTTATTGGTCTGTCTTGCACTTTGAATGGATCTTTTATTAAAGCATGATTTTGGAACATCATATATTGATCATTTTAATAATATTGGTTCTCTGAGTTATGCAGATCTTCCATTGACATGTTGCATTAGTTTATACAATATATAACAACCTCCCTGCCTCCTCCTCCCTGCCAAAACAAAACACCTTTGTTAATATCACCACCACTTCTATCAGAAAAGCCTTTAAATTTGGGGGAGATAATAGAGCTATCTATTATTACATAGAAAATTATTCCAAATTTAGCAATTTGAAACAAAAAACCATTATTACCTCACAGTTTCTGTGTGTCAGGAATCCAGGAGTGACATAGCTGGGTGGTTCTGGCTCCAAGTCTTTCAAGAAATTGCAGTCATTTAAAGGCTCAAGTGAGAGTCAGTCTGTTTCCAAACTCACTCAATGTGCTGCTTGGCAGGCTTCAGAAGATCCACTTCCAGGTTTACTCACATGGTTGTTTACAAGCCTCAAGTTCTTGCCATATGGGTCTCTCCATAGTTTGCTTGAGTGTCCCTATGATGTGGCAGCTGGCTTCCCTTTCCCAGGGATAGGAGAGAGAGAAAGAGAGAGAGAGAGAGAGAGAGAGAGAGAAAGGGATTGAATAAGAATAAGAGCGTCAACCCAAGGCAAAAGCCCCAGTGATTTTATAACCTAATCTCAATATGATAGCTCATCACATTTAGCCACTTCTGTTCACTAGAAGTGGTCCAGGCCAAAAGGGGAGGGAAACTAAGCTGCACCTCTGGAGCAGAGCTGGATCACAGAATGTGGAGATGTATCTACAAAACCACCACAAGTTGTCAAGCTCATGATGCCAGATGCAAGCTCTCCCAAATTCTAAGTTTTGCTTTAAAGCTCAAGCTTATCATTGGCAGTAAACACTGTCAGTTGTTTTCCTTGAAATGACAGGCTTACATTTTTCATTTTTGAGAAAAATATCTTACCACACACTCAATTCTGTATGACCGTAGATAACAACAAGTGGACTGGATGTGGGTACCTGTGAAGGGAGCCAGCCTGATATCCTCACAAAACAGACTCCACCTGAAGGGGCAGTGTGAGAGAGGAGGCCCACCAAAGTCCAAGGGCTTCTCAGGATTGTCATCTACCCAGAAATGCAGTGGGAGGTTTCTAGAAGGGTTCTATGAGACACAGTCACCTTTGACTATTTGCCACTCCTGAGAACACCAGTGCTAGTCAAAACCATACAGGTAAATAAGAGCTTTTCCCGTCTTACCTTTCCTCCTTCCCTCTTGCAGCTTTGAAAAGGCCCAAAACAGCAACTGATGAGAGAAAAGGGGTACTAAGCAGAGGAAAAAAGCTGACCACAGCTCCCTCCTTCCTCCACTGTAGACTTCCAAGCCTGGAGCAAACCTAGGTATGAAAAAGAAGAAGTTTAAATGGAATGAGATTAGTTTGGATTACTACACTAGACTGAACCCTAATTACTAAAAAGAGACTATTTGTTTATTGTCTGAGAACAAACGCAAATCTATAAAACATATCTGAGAATTCAAGGGTGGAACACAGTGAGTTGGCACAAATTGACAGCGCAGTTTGAAGGACAGTGGATGAAAAGAGATAGATGCTTTCAGCCTGCACCCTACTGAATTCAACTCTTATAATAAAGTGGTTACAATAACAATTTATTGAGCACTTATTTTTTCCAGGCTGAGGTCCTGCTGGTCATGTTTCAATGAATAGACAAGATGTGCTTCTGTTTAGGAGAATGGTGTTTTCAGGATGATTGGAGCCAGGCTCCAATTAGCATGCAAGATAGATTGAAAGTGAAGCAAGATTAGGATCAGGATAAACAACGAGTTTCTTCTGCATAGCACAGGGAGCTATATTCAGTATCTTGTAACCATAATGAAAAATAATATGAAAACAAGTATATATGAATGAAACAACATGCTGCACACCAGAAATGGACACATTGTAAACTGACAATGCTTAAATTAAAAAAAGATTAGGATGAAGGAGATAAATTAGGAACACAGTAATAAAATGAGGCCAAAGTGGTCCCTATAGGGACAAAATAGAGGTAAATGGACAAATGTAAGGAATATTTGAGAGGAAAAGGAACATAAAAGTACCTACTTAGATATAATATGGTAAATAAAGCAGAAGGAAGAGTCAAAAGCAGCTTGAATTTTTAAAGCTTGTTTGGATGGGATAATAATAGAAATGGAAGAAATACAGGCATTTGGCAGAATGAGTGGGTTGGGTGGGTAAGAGTGGCAGGAAGAAAATACTAGTTTAATTTTGGGTTTTTTACATTTCAAATTTAGGTGGCAGTGGGGCTCTAAATGCAAATATCCCACAGATATTTGGAAAGTCATTTATTTATTTGTTCATCTAATATTTCTTGAGAGCCTACTTGGCTCTAGTGGGAATAACCTGGTAAAGAGTTGGAGTTTAAATGGGACATGTGGGCCAGAAAGATCTGGGGGCCCTCATCATAGAGCTGTTCCCTGAAACCATGAATAGAAGTCAGTTTTCTACTGAAGAATATCAAGAAGAGACGATTTCTGGGTATATTTATAGTTAAGGAGACACAACAAATGACAGATGGGTGAGGAATAAATCAAGATCACATGTTGTAATTATTTTTCTATTAAATTCTAACCATTTACAGTTTATAAATATTTAATTATGACAAAAAAGAGCAGTCTCATAGTAGCTGTTCATATTTTTTAAACTTTTTACTTTGGAATAATCATAGATTCACAGGAAGTTGCAAAAGTAGTAGAGGGGTTCCATTTACCCTTCACTCAGTTTCCCCTAGTGATTTCATCTTCCATAACTATAGTACAGTATGAAAACCAGGAAATTGGAATTGGTGTAATCCACTGACGTTATTCAAATCTCACCAGGTTTACATGCACTCATTTGTGTGTATGTATGTGTATAATTCTGTGCCATGTTATCACAGTATATATGGATTCATGTACTCTTTCATCAGTTGTTAACTTTTTTTCTTTTCCCTCCTTCCAGTTACTTAAGTAACTTGAAGAATCCACACCACAGGAGTTTTTTTTTTAAGGACTTTTTTGTAGTTCACTGAGACTCCCTAACGTTCAAACAACCAAATAGAGCAAAGATCAGAAAGATTTTTAAAGTATTTAATTAGCAAGAAACTTGTAAATGTTTTACACTGTTGAATATATTGAGCCAGATTCTTCTGTAACCTTTAGCCATTGTTCCCCAAGTTCTTATTAGTCAAATGTGAGTTATGATTTCTAAAGTCCTTTATAACCCTGCAGTTCTACAATTTTGGAATTCTCATTCCTAGGTCACTTGGTTTCTTGATGTCAAGCATAAACTTGTGGTTACTGCATTCATTCTTTTG